GTCACTTCAAGTGGGTTTGAGGAGAAGTATTTGGGCCTACCCACTCCCGATGGCAGAATGTCAAAAGGGAAATTCCGGAATCTACAGGTAAAAATGTGAGAGCGGCTGTTTGCGTATGATGGCCATACCACGCAAGCTAGCAAGGAAGTTCTCATTAGGGCGGTTGCGCAGTCCATCCCGACGTACATTATGAGCGTGTTTAAACTTCCTATTAAACTTTGCGATGATTTATCGCATGATTCGCCATTACTATTGGGGTGTGGAGAAGGGCAAGAGAAAGACCCACTAGTATGCTTGGAATAAAATGACTCAGCCTAAGAAGCAAGGGGGGTTAGGCTTCAAAGATTTTCACATGTTTAATCAAGCTTTGTTGGATCGCCAAGCTTGGAGAATTCTTGAGTATCCGAGCTCGTTATGTGCTAGACTATTAAAAGCAAAATATTTTCCCAATGGGCAGTTCTTGGATACAGTCTTTTCTGGAAATCCATCACCTACTTGGCAAGCGATCACCCATGGCCTAGAACTCTTGAAAAAGGCATGGTATGGAGGATTGGCACTGGCTAGCAAGTTCGGGTATGGTGGGATCGCTGGGTGGCGCGTGAACCTACAGGTGGACTGATCTCCACGCTGGGTAGATGCCGCCTTAAGTGGGTCTCGGAGCTTATGGATTTTCATTGCAACTGGGACTTGTAGAAGCTACAACAGTACTTCCTCCCGGTGGACATTGTCGAGATATTGAAAATTCATCCGCCCCCTCGATTTGGGGAGGATTTTCTAGCTTGGCCGCCTGAAAGAAGTGGTATATTTTCTGTTCGTAGTGCGTATAAACTTGCTAGTGATGAAGCCTCAAACCATCAGGAGCATTCTTCAAGCTTTCTCCGGATGATACGAGAGCAAGTTAGAATCACGTATGGAAAAGTTTGGTACCCCCCAAGGTTCAGAGCTTCGCATGGAGATTGACTACTGATTCTTTAGCGAACTGGACCAACAAAGTTAAACGCAAGATGGAAGTGTCGCCTTTATGTCCAGTGTGCGGCAGGGAAGAGGAGGATTCGTTCCATGTCTTCTGCTCCTGTAATCATGTTGTGATCCTATGGAAAATGATGGCAAAGGTGTGGGACCTCCCTTCCAGGCCCATGCTAAAACCAGTGGGGCCTTACTAGTTCATCCATCTCTTAGCTGAGATAAATGAGGAAGGCAGAGCTTTTGTGATGATGCTGTTTTGGAGGATTTGGTTTGTTCTAAATGAGTTGGTGCACTCTAAAAAGCCACCCCAATGGAAGTATCTGTCTGTTTCCTTGTTAGTTACCTCTCTTCACTGTATGCACTTAATACCAACCCTAGCAATGATCCAATCAAGGGCAAGGCGATATTGGTTCCAGGTCTCAAGAAGTGCCATATAAGACTCCAGTCAGATGTGGTTGCAGATGCACTAAGGGTGAAGCCGGGCTTTGGCCGGGTGAAATTAAATACTGACGCTTCAGTGCTGGGAGAGGAGGCAGGATGTGGAATGATATTGAGGGACCATGAGGGGTCCATAATCTTTAGCTCCTATATACACATATATATGGGTGTAATGATGTCCTTGAAGCTGAACTACTAGCTCTAAAAGGGGGATATCTCTGGCAATTCAGTGGAGCATGTTCCCTATAGATATAGAATCAGATTATCTACAAGCAGTCCAGATGATAGTTGGAGGCTCTAGCAACAAGTCCAAATATGTGTTCATCATGAAGAAGATCATCAGTACTATGGAGGAAAGAAGCTCTTGCATTACTCATTCTTGTCGTTGCTGTAATTTGGCTAGTCATTCTCTGTCTAATTTTAGGAGAATACAACACCGAACGGTGGTTTGGCTTGGCTCTGGCTCGGAAGTAGTCAGAGATATTGTAGAACGAGAATGTAATCCTGTAAACTGTGCTGAGTAATGCAAAGATCTTCGATTCACAAAAAAAGGAAGGACAAAGGAACAGAGTGAAAGAGTTTTCAAGAAACTGGTGATTCACAAGGCTCTCCAGGTATTCACAAAAGAAGAAAGGTTGTCCAAGTCGCCCCATGTTTCTGCCTCAAGGAGCACCCCTTGCATCTCCGCGGTGGTAGTATTGGGTGGTGCACCCCATCGCCCTCCCTGTCAACACCCGACGTATGAGTGCACAACCCTCGTCGTCGTCTTCCAAGTAACCACTTCACCCATATGACCAACACAGCAAAACAAATCGCCAGATGTAGCTTTTACATGTGTTGGTCGTAGGCCGCCGCGGCACCACCCTCTCGTTGTCGCGTCGCCGCTTCCATCAGCTGAAGATATGAGGACTATGCACGATCTAGGACACCAATTTGATGGAGAGAGATACATGGCCCACAAGGGATGCCGCTTTCGTTGTGTCAGAATTATTCATAGGGTGGCCTCAGTTTTATTTTTCTTACTTGGAAGGCTAGCACCACATCAGGTAGTGTCGCCTAGCACATGTTGATGGACATAATTCATCGCCGCGTCCCTTTGCATCTGGCCTTGAGTTTTTCCCCAGCGACTGGTCAATACGATAGTAACCAACGAGCTAGTCACCATTAGCGAAGAGTTTGGTGAACTACATCGACGATGTGAGCAAGAAGTACACGGCAGTCCCTTGCATTGGTGCTGAGTTTCTTCCCTACATCGAGGCCGATTAAGGTGACAAGTAGCGAGTGAGCCGGCTGTCGTTAACGAAGAGTGTTGTGACTTGTCGTGTCAAGGTTACCCCTGCACATTGAAGCATCTATACTAGTTATAAGAACACGACGAATTATGTGCACACATCCGCGGGGTTGGAAGGAGGGAACAACATCACGAACAACAAAATTTGCAGCCCACATAATTGGCCATGAAAGGTATACAACTTTTTATTGGGTATCCACTCACTAACGCCCCTTGCTATGTCCAACGTTTCTCCATAGGACCAAATCGTGTCCACAAATGATGTGTGCTCTATGAAGCACGCCAACGACAACAGATTGGTTCACTATGAGTACGAGGCGGTAGTGAAATTAGGTATACACACATTTCTATTATGTTTATTAGACCAGGGACGTGTGGTATTTTACCTCGCGCTGAAGCATCTATACTAGTAGAGTTAGGTGTCCACAAATGATGTGGATATGTACATTATCTGACACTGATCCGAGACTATTGCCTTACTTGGGGATCTTGTTGAAATAAAACAGATGTTCAACTTCTCAGAAGCCAAAGAAAGGCCTTACGTTTAGATTCATTTCCTTTATTGCCAAGGGCTTGGCTTATCAGAATTGATAGGATAATTCCTTGGGCTTGGTTACTCTGCTCCCTTACAAAATAAAGAACCTTTCCATGTGGTTTGACTTTGATCTGACTCTGTTTATTAGGATTCCTGTGTTTTTCCTATTCGTGTGAACCAAACACCTAACTCTGCAAAAGTCCTATGTTTACCAATCCTCTGTTTCACACATGTATTCCTATTCAATTCCTGTGTTTTTTCCTTCTTTGCTTCTTTAGAATCCTGTTGAGAGGCCGAAGTCTACAAATTCCTACGTTTTCCAATCCTCTGTTTTACACATGTATTCCTATCCAATTCTTGCTTTTTTTCCTTTCCCGCATTTTTAGAATCATGTAAGCCAAAGGAGCCCCAAGTCTGCAAAATTCCTATGTTTTCCGATCCTCTGGTTTTACACAAGCATTCATAATCCCTGTGTTTTTAGGATCCGTGAGCCAAAGGAGGTCTTACATGATGCAGTAGATCCGCCTTCTCAAGACCTCACAAACAACAATTTCTCTTCCCCATCAAACCCTAATTACCTACCACCTTCCATAGAGAGTATACTATACAAGTGGATGATGGGGATGGTGGCGGCGGTTTACACGGGGAGAGGAAGAAGCCGAAGGAGATGGAACCTTCTTGCAAGAAATCGGTGGAAGTGGGTCCGCCCCTACAACTCATCAAATCCGCCTTCTTTTATGTTATGCGTTGTACCTGCAAGGAGTTCAAGGGGAAAGCATTAGTCCTATCCAGACCGGTTAATTCTAGAACTATAAATAAGGGGCCAGGATCTTCTATGTGCTTCTAAATGCAAGCATACTCTGCTTATCAACTATGTTTGCCTAACTAGACGCGTTGAAGCATCTATACTAGTCTTATTCTTATAACTAGACGATGCCCTGCGTGATTGCTGCGAGAATCTTGCTAAAAATGAAGTGCTAAATAAACTAAGACAATGCAAGAGTATTATGCATGACTAAGTTCATAAAAAACATGCATACATGAGTTGATGAGATGCCATGCTTGCATGAATGAATAAATTAATGCATAAAAGTAACTCATGACTACAAGCATGACTTGATGATGTACTAGCATTGTTGCATGAAGAGGAAAATTAGATAGTGGGTTGCAACTATTTAAGAACTAGATGATACCCCGCACGTTGTTGCGGGAATATTTTGTAATATATCTCAATGTGATTCATTGTATGAAACATATATAAAAGGATAGAACTGAAACTACATATACTTTATTATGTTGGATCACTATATAGTTGTAAAATGTTTATTAAATATAAATAGAAAAATAGAATAGAATTCGCATGTTGAGATAGGTCTTTTTTCATGCAAGTTTCATGATGATGTGGTATGTTTGCATGTTGAGAGAAATAGTTAGTGAAGGCTAGCTATTTAGATATAGAATGATGTGACATGCTTGCATGTTGAGAAAAATAGTTAATGATGGCTAGCTATTTAGATATAGAAGATACATTAATAAAGAAACCGTGGCCAAAATAATGGACGGTGAGATGCCGCGAGGCACACATTTGGTCCGGCACGAATCATAACGTGACCACCAAACGGGGTGTGAGCGAAATCAAGGGCAAAGACAGGCAAAACCCCGTCCAACACACTCTCCTCCTCCGCTTGCTCCGTTTCCCCCAAATCTGCCGCACGACCCAAACAAAACCCTTGCGGCGGCGACCCACCCCATCTCCGGCGGCCAAGCGGAATGGAGCGCTCGGCGGCGGGCGCCTCGTACCAGCGCTTCCCACGCGTGCGGATCCGCGAGCTCAAGGACGAGTACGCCAAGTTCGAGCTCAAGGACACCGACGCGAGCATGGCCAACGCCCTCCGCCGCGTCATGATCGCCGAGGTCCCCACCGTCGCCATCGACCTCGTCGAGATCGAGAGCAACTCCTCCGTCCTCAACGACGAGTTCCTCGCGCACCGCCTCGGCCTCATCCCGCTCACCTCCTCCGCCGCCATGTCCATGCGCTTCTCCCGCGACTGCGACGCCTGCGACGGGGACGGCTCCTGCGAGTACTGCTCCGTCGAGTTCCACCTCGCCGCCCGCGCCACCGACTCCGGCCAGACGCTCGAGGTCACCTCCACCAAGGACCTCCGCTCCACCGACCCCAAGGTCTGCCCTGTCGACCAGCAAAGGGAGTACCAGCAGGCCCTCGGCAACGTCGACGCCTACGAGCCCGATGCTGCCGGTGACCACAGGCAAGTCGCGCTCTCCGTTTCGGCCCATTCTGTCAATCTGTATTCTTTATTTCCTATTATTAAACCCCCAAGTATTGATGAAATGACAACCTCTGCCTGATCACAGAACCCAACTAACCCTAGTTAGCCATTATACAAGCAGCTTATCTGTATGATGAATTCCTAATTCAGCTATCTGTCTCTGTCTCGGCAACGTCGACGTCTACGCGCTCGATGCTACCGGAGACCATATAGCATGAGGTACTTCAAATAGTGCAGTGAAAGTTTATTCTCGTCACTGCACTATTTGAAGTACCTCATGCTCGTCATCGTATCTGTAGATGATTCAATTTGATGGTTAATTTGTATCGAAAGGTCTCAATTACACTTTCACGACATTGTCCCTGCGTTCATTCTTGTATTTTAAATCAGCATTCTGCTACTAGCAGTCTAACAGCGCATGTAATTCAATCATGCTCAACCAGGTCTCAGTTTCAGATTAAAAGCTCTGCGTGTGCTACAGTTGCTCATAGGTTCAGTTGGTAGGAGGCCAAAGCGCCAGCATTTTACTTTATCTATGCCAAAATGCTAGTCGTCCTCACTTACACTACCGCCTGCTTTCACTACATTCAAATTGCAATGACTCAAGTGAAACTATATTTGTATCGTTGTACAACATCTTGAAGTGTGATCGGCATTAAGACGAAGGCATATATTTATTTAGCCAAAGCAATCTTGTATTGTTGATTCCAATGAACACTTATTTTTGTATCCTTCAACTGTATCTGAACTAAACCAGCACTTCCTAGTAATAACGTTGCTATCTCTGAATTCTGAAGATGGCATATTCCTGCTAACATTGAAATTTGGAAATTTGTCATACTAATCCATTAGACATTTTCTTTGTGTGGAAGTATTGATAATGTCATGTAATCTAACATTTGAATAGATCATTTATGTACAGAGTTCAATAGCTTTATTGGTTGTGTAAACCTCTTCGAACACTTTGTTTGTTAGACGTTTAGTACACATGGATGCTCTGTTAAATCACATTCTGTATTTCCGTCGGAATCACTGAGAAGATATAAATGTACTGCAACATCAGGTTCTCGATCTCTTTCATGGCATGTAGTTCAGGTAGCATAAAATACGTCGATCTCTTGTTTCGATTGTCATGTTCAGTGCTTTTGTTGAAGCCTCCGAAAATTTGTGTCCAGTGAAACTTATAAATTGTTTATCCTTGTTGGATATGCACATTCTATGCTTGTCTAGATACCTTTCTGGGTTATATACATACTACATGGTCGTTATTGTGCATCCTTTGCGCAGAGAAATTATTTACTTTAGACATTGATATCACTTTTAGAAAAAGGAGGGAGCAACAAGAGGTTGTAAAAGAGAGACAGAAAAGAAGCTACCATGCAATTTCCTTTTACTTTTCAATAACGTAAACAGACGAGCTTGATGGCGGCCTAAGGCGAGCACCACCCGCTCTAGCGCCTAGGCGACGCCTAAGCGCATAAGGCGGGCATATTTGTAAGGCGCTGCCAGGGCGCCTTACTTATCGCCTAAGCGTCCAAGGCAGGACGCCTTAAAAACAATGCTACACAGTAGAGCCTAAGTTGTGCGTGCCTTTTGCCATGAGGTTATATTATAACTCGTACCCTAGTGTTCATCACCTCGTTGTTCCATGGTGCTCATCCATATGCCGCAAGTTTATCTGCCTATAATCTGCTCAATTTTCCATTTTCCATCAAAGTGTACAGATTGTAATGCTTATATTGGGACTTGGGAGTACCACTAAATCTGAGAATGTTTGGGGAACTGAACTAAACCTCAACTGAACCCGCATGATCAATTTGGGCAAACCAAACCTAACTAATCCTCTTTAATTGTTATTTAAACCCAAACCAAACTGAACCACGTCCTCACTCCACCTAAACTGAACTGAACCTATGGCTGAAACCATGGTTTTAGCCAATGGGTAAACAACAGTTCCATACCATGTTGCCTCCTACGTTCATGGCAAATGGCCTGGTGCTGCTCCCAGCTCTCTGCCTTCGTGAACAGCTTGTAAAGGAGTGGTTGAGCGGGGCAGTGGTGAGCAGAGCGATGCACCTCATGTGCCGGCGCCGCCCGTTCTCGTCAGTGCGGCGGGTCGTACATGCGCGTGACCGCCGTCGCGCTTCCGAGAGCTGAGCATGATCTTCAGCTGCTCCCACAAGGGTGTTGCCGGCGCCGGCGCCGCTGGACGACTCTCCTTGGATGCGGCATTGTGGCTCAGCGTCGCGGGGGCGGGGACGCCGGGACGGCGAGAGGTGGCGGCGGTGGCTACAGGAACGGGGAAAGAGTGAGTTGTCGAGCAGACCTACGAAGTTCGAACGAACCTCGGGAACCGTTTTGGAATCATGGTTTGAGCCTGGTTGGAAATTGAACGGTTTAAGCCCATACCTGACCACACCCACCTATTAATCACACGAAACTGAACCAAACCAAATTGTTAGCAGATACAACCCATTAACGACCAAACCAAAGAAGCCCACATGATTAAACTGAACCAATACACCCGGTTATACGAAAACCATCCCCAGGTTTAAGTACCACTCTGTATGTCACATGTATCTTTCCTTCTCTTCTACAGTAAGTTAACCAATTCATTTTCATTTGTAAGCAGTTAAAGAAAAGAAAGGCGCCTTTTTTTGTACATTCTTCTTTTCCCTCTTCTTTCATTCCATCATAATGGGGCATTATGAAGGGAAGTACTGAGCATTTGGTTATTAGCTGATCTTGCATATTAATTGTACACACTAATCTTATGTGGGACAACACTGCAAATGACTCAATTTTCCATATCCCATGCAGATTGTAATACTTTTGTTGGAAATACTACTGTGTATGTCACATGTTCTTTCCTTCATAAGTTAACCAAATCATTTTCCTTTGTAAGCAGTTTTAAAGAAAAGAAAGAGCCTTTTTTTGTTACTATCTTCTTTCCCTTTTTCTGTTATTCCATCATAATGGAACGTTATGAATGGAAGTAAAACTGAGTATTTGGTTATTAGTTGATCTTCATGTTAATTGTACACACTAATGTTATGTGCAGTAAGCACTACAAACGGCTAGGCCACACTTCTTATCGTCAGTGGCATCTTTAGGAAGGGGATAAGACTTTGTACCCCTTAATGGTTTGATTGAATAACCTCTCGGTCAGATGCACATTTATTGATTATGACATTTGGCTGTCTATCTATCTGACACTGAACCGAGACTATTGCCTTACTTGGGGATCTTGTTGAAATAAAACAGATGTCCAACTTCTCAGAAGCCAAAGAAAGGCCTTATGTTTAGATTCATTTCCTTTATTGCCAAGGGCTTGGCTTATCAGAATTGATAGGATAATTCCTTGGGCTTGGTTACTCTGCTCCCTTACAAAATAAAGAACCTTTCCATGTAGTTTGACTTTGATCTGACTCTGTTTATTAGGATTCCTGTGTTTTTCCTATTCGTGTGAACCAAACACCTAACTCTGCAAAAGTCCTATGTTTTCCAACCCTCTGTTTCACACATGTATTCCTATCCAATTCCTGTGTTTTTTCCTTCTTTGCTTCTTTAGAATCCTGTTGAGAGGCTGAAGTCTGCAAATTCCTACGTTTTCCAATCCTCTGTTTTACACATGTATTCCTATCCAATTCCTGCTTTTTTTTCCCTTTCCTGCGTTTTTAGAATCCTGTAAGCCAAAGGAGCCCCAAGTCTGCAAAATTCCTATGTTTTCCGATCTTCTGGTTTTACACAAGCATTCATAATCCCTGTGTTTTTAGGATCCGTGAGCCAAAGGAGGTCTTACATGATGCAGTAGATCCACCTTCTCAAGACCTCGCAAACAACAATTTCTCTTCCCCATCAAACCCTAATTACCTACAACCTTCCATAGAGAGTAGACTATACAACCTGTAAGCCAAAGGAGCCCCAAGTCTGCAAAATTCCTTCTTACATGATGCAGTAGATCCACCTTCTCAAGACCTCGCAAACAACAATTTCTCTTCCCCATCAAACCCTAATTACCTACAACCTTCCATAGAGAGTAGACTATACAAGTGGACGATGGGGATGGTGGCGGCGGCTTACACGGGGAGAGGAAGAGGCCGAAGGAGATGGAACCTTCCTGCAAGAAATCGGTGGAAGTGGGTCCGCCCCTACAACTCATCAAATCTGCCTTCTTTTCTGTTATGCGCTGTACCTGCAAGGAGTTCAAGGGGAAAGCATTAGTCCTATCCAGACCGGTTAATTCTAGAACTATAAATAAGGGACCAAGATCTTCTATGTGCTTCTAAATGCAAGCATACTCTGCTTATCAACTATGTTTGCCTAATTATTTTGTTATTATACTCCCTCCGTTCCTAAATATTTGTCTTTCTAGAGATTTCAACAAGTGACTACATACGGAGCAAAATGAGCGAATCTACACTCTAAAATATGTCCATATACATCCATATGTGGTAGTCCATTTGGAATATCTAAAAAGACAAATATTTAGGAACGGAGGGAGTACGTTAGATGGATATGTACATTAACTAAGGTCCAAAGGATTAGTAACACTAAATCTTCTCCTACATGCACAGAGCATGCACTATTGATATGTTCTGCTGCTGTCACAATAAAATTAAGCTACCTTGTTATATGTGTTAACTTTTGGTCTAAGGGATTTAGTGGCATCTTTTCTTTACATATCTTGGTCCTCTTGATAATAAATGTTTGAACACTGCCCTTGTTTAACTAATGCTTATTGTTTAACTAATGCTTATTGTATTGAGCTTTAAATAATGATATCTTATTTCAGGGGCATATTAATTGTAAAGCTGCGCCGTGGGCAAGAGCTGCGTCTTCGAGCAATTGCCAGGAAGGGGATTGGAAAGGACCATGCCAAATGGTCTCCAGCTGCTACTGTGACCTTCATGTATGAGCCTGACATATGTATTAACCAAGAACTCATGGAGACACTTACACTTGAGGAAAAACAAAGCTGGGTGGAGAGCAGCCCTACAAAAGTATTTGACATCGATCCTGTCACCCAACAGGTCAGCTTGTTCTCTACTAGTGCTTCTCCATCACTCGTTTCAATAACATCATCGACGAATACACGAAGTTTTTTTTTTTCATATGCTATGATAAACTATTGGTAGATTCATTGTGTGCGAGCGGGGCCGCACACACGGGCCTGTGGACAAACTATTCCTAGATTCACCAGACATCTTGCAGTATTAGTCAAATCATTCAAAACCATAACTATGATGTTATGCAGTCTCCATGCATTACGTTAGATAGCCGTCAATATTTGCTGATGCTGCAATCGGTCACTACAGTGGTGTAGGCATTTCATCGTTACATAGCACCTGCTATCATAAGTGGCGCCTGTGTTTCTATTCGGTGCTTGTGTACTTATATCTGCTATCTATTTTTCTGTCTGAGAATTAAATTACTGTCAAATACCTGATTGACTTTATTTTTTGGTCTGGTTGACAACTTGACATATCAATACACATAGTGCTGATGCTTCATAGTAGTGATTTTAACAACAAATTCTACTAGATATTACTGAAATACACTCCCTCTGATCCTATTAATTGTCGCTCACTTAGTACAACAAGTTGTACTAAGACTACCCACAATGGGAGTAACATAGGTGGTAACATCACACATATCTAGACAAAATAGATGATGTGGCAAGTAATAAATGAAGAAAGAGAGGCATGTGGTAACATAGCTAGTTACTACTAGTACGAGTAACATCAAACATACCAAGATAAGATGAGTCTATAGCATAATAAATGAAGTGTTGCATGATACCACACATATGTTACTCCCCACTGTGGAGGTAGTAACATAGACTAGTAACATATGCATGCTACTAGTCTAAGTTACTCCCCATTGTGGCTAGTCTAAGTGAGCTTGTTGTACTAAGTGAGCGACAATTAATATGGATCAGAGGGAGTATTAGATTACCCACAGTGGGAGTAACATAGGTGGTAACATCACACATCTCCAGGCAAAACAGATGATGTGGCGAGTAATTAATGAGGAAATAGGGGCATGTGGTAACATAGCTAGTTACTGCAACATCACACATACCAAGACAAGATGAGTCTACAACCTAATAAATGAAGTGTTGCATGACACCACACATATATTACTCCCCACTATAGAGGTAGTAACTTAGACTAGTCTAAGTTACTTCCATTCTGACTAGTCTTAAAATGGACTACTCAGAGCAATAATTGTTCTCTCAATATTTTACTAGTAACATGTGATTGTAAAACTCTGTTTCTTGTTACCAAATTGATGTTTCCATTCCTGATGGACATACCGCAAATTGCACTCTCCTGTTTACTGAACTCTTGGGTAGGCGCTTCTTGCGAGTCCAACCAGAAGAAACCCCAAAAAGATTGTCTGCTCAAACTCAATTGCTTCTCCAAAGTGTGAGAGCACAAAATTACGGCAAATCAGCACCACAACAACATATGCAAACCATGCTAATGATTGTTAAAAGACATTCCTAAACTCTTAGAGCTCTACTAACTAAAGTTTACATTTAGCATTCCGTTGTTGTGGAGAACTATCCCATCACCATCCAAATCACATGCACCGTTTGCAGCCACTAAATAATTAGCGTGTTATGTCACTCAGGATCTCAGTCTCGTTCTTCGTGCGTAGGAATTTGAAAAAAATGTCCAAATGCTTTGTAAAATTCCTCCGTTTTTCCTCTGAAACTGAGAACAAAGGAAAATTTCCTCAATTTTTCCTTTGCTACATGCCTTTGAACCAAAGGCTTGAATAGTGCCACCATAGGAAAATTTCCTATTCCTATGTGTTTCCTCCACTTCTCCTTTGAACCGAAGTTTCTTTCAAGGCCTTTTTGGATTGCAGGATTTTCAAAACGTAGGAATAGGAAAAACACAGGATTTGGATGTGACATAACGTGAAATCCTATAGCATTACAAAACACAGCAATGTCCGCAATAGGTGCCTTTGGATGGTGCACAGGAAACAACACACGAATTTTAGAGGATTGAGGAGAGAGGGTAGGGAAAGATGAGTTTAAGTGCATTGGACTTCTCAAAGGAAAAATAAAATGAGGTGCGAGCTCTTGTTGAGATTCCTATGGAACGAGGAGCATAGGATAGGAATTTCGTGACCTGAATCCTATGAAATTTCTTCCATCCAAAGAAGCACTCAATGTATATGTACTTGAGGCCCTACACCTGGCAATCATAAGTGTAAAGTATAAATGCTATGTGTCTGTGTAAGTAGATAGTCCTCTGGAAGCTTAAATGCAAACCTAGAACAAATACATGCCTGATACCTGCTACAATTTGTGCATATCTCATATGACGATAAATAGCCAAAAAATTGGCATCATCACATACTATCATTTCTAATAAATTGCTTAGATTATTTATAATATACCTACCCATGTGTTGGAAGTGGATTTACACTTTGTCAACTCCTGAATTGGCCTTTTAAGGGTTCATTCCACCTGACCTCCTCATTCCCTTAATGGGTCTTGTTTTGCTCAATAAACCATGTCATGCTTGGGGCAAAGGCCTTGGGACTTGTGGTACATGCGTTTTAGTTAAGCATATCTCGAGGAACTTCTGTCACTATGTGTCTTGCAAACATTTAGTTATATTTTCTTCGAACACCTTATCCAGCATAGCTCATTCTAAAAGAATGATCAAAACAGTAAATGTCGCCGTCTGTCAGATTGACTGATTTTTATTTACATAAAACGGTAAATGTTATCAAATGGCTACCTGTTTATGATATTTTCAAATTATTATGTTGGTAGATGGGGTTTCATATCTGTAAGTGCAAATTAAGCCATGGAGCTGTCTGTTTGTAATAGTATCATTGATTTTGGGCATGCCTACTTGTGTGTGGCTTTCAGGTGACGATTGTGGACCCAGAGGCCTACACGTATGACGATGAGGTGATCAAGAAAGCAGAGGCCATGGGGAAGCCAGGATTGGTAGAGATCAACGCCAAGGAGGACAGCTTTGTGTTCACTGTGGAGACAACGGGCGCCATCACAGCCTATGAGCTGATTATGAACGCTATCACAGTCCTGAGGCAGAAGCTGGACGCTGTCCGCCTGCAAGACGATGACGGCGATCTTGGTGAGCTCGGCGCCCACCTTATCGGAGGCTAACCACCGCTTGTCCGGGAAAGAAGTCGCCAGCGGTATCTTTGTTTCTCCGTATCTAGGCTCGTCTCGTCTAACTGGCTTGCCTGTGGCAAAAGGCAGTGGATGCTTCCTTTGATACCCAGCACCAGAACTCTACGGCAATCGCCTTTGTATCCCTCTGTTTATGCCCTGACCTCCGCCGGAACTCTGTACGTGCAAAAACACCATGGGCGCTGAAGCTTAGCCGCACTGTGGGACAAGAGAATAGCTGGTAGCCCATGATTGGCGGTGGTGATACGGCGTGGTGTCTTGAATGCATAGTTATTCGCAGGACTCCCGCCCCCATACCCAGACCAGATTCATAAGCTTTGTGGGGATTAATGTAGTAGAGTACTCGGATCGATCCATGCATGCACGGTACGTAGTACCAGGTTGCGAGTTGAATGATGGGCGGCGGTACAAGGGTACCGTTGGATTGGGATCGATGGCTAGTTTGTTTGCTTAGATCGGCCTGGCAGGCGTGCTGCCGAATGCGGCGCCATGTGGGTCGGGGTCGGTACGGCGTTTGAGTGATGGATGGATGTACCGCAGGATTTGGTGAAATGCTCATGTCGCTTCTCTTGCTTGTTTACTCTTTTCTATCTACTCCCTCCGTTTCGGTGAATAAGTCATCCACGTAGTTCTAGGTCAACGATTTAACTATCTAAATATGTACTATATGTGACAAAAAATATATATTTGAAAACTACATACGTGTAGAAATCTAGTGATATATTTTTCATGACATATAATACATATTTAATTCTTCAAATAGATGACCTAGAACTATGCGAATGATTTATTCATCTGCTGTGGGTTTTGGTTTCATTCGTGGTAATTCCGTTTGCTGCCACCGCGCCGCACTGTGCGTACGTATGTATGGCGTACGCGGTGCTTATGTACGGGACGGCAGCCTGCAGGTGGCTTGAATGGAAGTGTCCCACGGGCGTTTGTTTCGCCGCGTTTACTCTCCCGTTCCATCCATAGCCCCTTCCCGCTCCCGGTAACACGGGCGCTACGTGAAGTGAAAACAAGGCGACGGCTGTTTGCTCGTGATTTTGCCGGGGCGAAGTTGATTGGGTGTCGTCGAGCCTAGGTAGGTTTCCAACTAGCAGCACGTAGTATTTGTACTGGCGCCATTGTTGTGCGAGTCTTGCCAGCCATGCCACGCCTCACGACTCACGAGCGGTGGTTTTTCTAGCAAAAAGGCTTGGGCTCCTCCACGTCTCGTTTTGGGCCAGAGGGCTATGCTGGATGATTTCGACCACCTTTTTTTTTGCAGACCGGTCCCAGTCGTTTCAGTAACGCAACTGTAGGCCTGATGGGATTCGGACACGACGGCTGAATGTTTCTACAGTTGCTATCTTGGCTAATGAGTAGGAGTAGCCCCTTCAAAAAAAAATGAGTAGGAGTAGCGCCGATGGCAGATTAGTGAGCCCTTGATTGGGAAAGGTGGTCCGTTTCGCATATTAGTACCAAATGATGATCGATTTCCTTCCCCAAGCACAGTATACTTACCATGATAGTATGATGATTTCGAGTTTCTTTGGCAGTAGTACATCCGTGGCATTTAAGTAGTACGTACTACGCCCTATAAATGCAAAACCCAGGACTAGTAGTAGTAGTGGTGCCATTAGGGGTGGAGATTCCTTTGGATACGGATGTTGGGCGTGGCCGTTCTCTCCCGTGGGCTGTGCACACGCTTTTCTCAGCATGTCTCCTGGATCCACCTGTGTCTCACTATACTACACAATGCTTGGTTGGTTACCCAGGGCAGGGCAGAGATGCACACTAATCATTACATGCATGTTGCTGCAAGTGAGTGAGTGAGTGAGTGGACTTGGGGATGATGGATGATTACATCGATCTCGTCTGGGCTACAGCACGCATGCATGCACTCACGCACGTAAAGCTCAGGAGGAGGAGGAGGAGGAGGAGACCAATGGTGGGAACTTGGATTGATGTATCAGGTGCGCCCAATTCAAGGCTCATCATGCTGCTGCTGCCCTCCTCCACCACGCCACTCGATACGACACGTCAATCGCCTGGCGCTTTGCATCCTCCTCCACTCCTCTCCCGGTCGAGCTAGCTGCTCTCACTCTCGCACACGCAAAGCCTGTGTGATGCATGACGTGCCATGGCAATGGCATGCGTGCGTCTTGACCCTACCACATTTACATGCAATGCAACCAAATCAATTCGATTGCGCCGTTTGCATTACTCACATTGCATGTGCATGAGAGGAATGTCCTGCCATGTTAGCAGCAGCAGCTTACTATTCAAAGCTATGGCGCTCCTATAACATGTGGTTATCTTATCATTCAATGCCGAGTTGGGCCGACATGTCAGCCCAAATAACTATCGCAATAAGTGCTCGGTTCACCCTGTAAGTTTTTTCTACTTCTTCACACAGACTTCTTTCTAACTCTGTAGACAGCAAAGTCACTTGTACGCCGGACACAAAAATATGTACTCCCTAGTCTATTCTATGGCGCAGATAGCTAACAATACAGTCTACAGACACAAACTCCTGAGCACTTAGATTACTCTCGCAGAGAGGACTGATGTACTACCTCTGTTTCTAAATATAAAACGTTTTGGCAGCGTAAACTAAACTGCCAAAACGTCTTATATTCAGGAACATAGAGTGTATATTATTGGTTAAACTATCAAAATGTCATATATTTAGGAACAGTTTGTGTACATTATTGGAGCATACAGTACTATGTATAGTACTGCTACTGGTAGTAACAGAATTTTATGTGCAACTTGACACATTTTACAACAATGCAGTGCAGGGCCTGAACCCCGCCAACCAACCCAAACACAATATCCAGAAACCACATCCGTTCTCACCAACAATACGGTGTGGTAAGATCTACGACGTGCGTAGTGTACATGCTATTTAATGAAGTACGTACTCCATACATGATGCTGGAGGGCAAGGGCAAGGCGCGCAAACCCGTTTCGCCATTGCTGCAGCCTGCAAGCCTGCAGCCTCCATTAATTATGCTGGAGTGGTAGTATAGCTGGGGAGGGTTCACATCTTGTGAGTGACCCAGTTCATCAATCAACCCAGGAGGGGAATGGAATTACCTGGTGGAAGCAAGTAAGTATAAGGAGCAACTTGAACTGTGCATGCGATCACGATGTCCTTCAATGTTCCCGGCCGGACCGCGGGTTTTAAGTGCTCCGATCTCGGGCTGTTATTGTACAGTACCTTAATGGATCTGTTGCACGTACGACGTACGTACGCCTCTCCCTTCCAATCTGCGTGACTAGGCCTACATGGAGTACATACGTTGCAGCAGTACGTGCATCCACTTGAACCGCGAGAGGCCCATCTAAGAGCAGCATATCTATCTGGGTCGAAAACAACCTACCTAGCCGCATGCACGTAAAATTGTAAACAAATTCCTAGTATAAGATAAAAGCAAGCATGTATGTATTCAAGTCTTTAGCATTCCTGTAAAGTTTCATAGACAACACGGACATTTCTTTTCTTTTCTTTTTAAAAAGGCCAAAGGCCATATATTATAGTTGATATAAACCCTCGAAAGCCTAACCTTACACACCCTCCTCCTCCTCACGCACTTGCAGGCGGCACGCCTTTGAGCGAAGCTTGATGCCCACCTTTGGACCTCTCAAACACCAATACACCATCGAAGCTACAAAAACGTTGTTAACACAACCGTCAGGAGGTCCCCGTCGGAGCTAGAAGGCACTGATGACATCGTTCTAAATCATAGATCGTCGCCCCAAGGAAGGCGGCAGCAAAGAGGGCTGGACGACCACCCTAGATCCAGCCCGATAGATCCTAGGAGATCTAACCTCACAAGCTCACTGACTAGGTCGAAGCTGGCCGAACATCACCGGTCGGAGAAGAAGCCAAAGGACAAGACAATAAGCGACATCATCCACTCCATTAGCTACAAGACCACATGCATAACACAAAGACAGTACCAAATCCACCACTCTAAAGTGGAGCAACTAGGTGATACTCCACTCTCCTTTGTGCCACTGAAGGGGTAGACTAGGAATTGAGAAAACCTTATTCTTAAGACGCTGCCGTCACCACCACGCCGCCACCTGAGAACAAAATTCTAATCCTAAGAGACCCAACCAAAGCGTCCCAACATAGATTTGATGTCGTCAGCCACATGAGCGACAGGCGAAGGAGGAGGAGACTCGTGGCCTGGCTGACATGAGCTTGGGGAGCTGTTTTTTAGAGGGAGGCAATGAATTTTTTTAGACGTGCGATAAAACCAGTGCTAATCTCTTCACTATATAGTCGGCCGGGTATGAGACGTATGTCGACCTGTTTTATCATTTTCTAAAACTTATAATTATGTTAATATGACGAAGCTTTCATTATAGAATGCAACTCATTACCGGTTCCGACGTTTGAGAAGTTGGACCGTGTTCTGGCAAGTGTTGAGTGGGAACAGAAGTTTCCTCTGGTAACGGTGCAGGCGTTGACACGAGGTATCTCGGATCACACACCGCTATTAGTGGACTCAGGGGCCCCAACTCATTTGGGTAATAAGAATATTTTCTCTTTCGAGCTTGCTTGGTTTGAAAGAGAAGGATTTATCGATCTGTTGGCTAGAGAGTGGGCTAAAGACTCGGGGGGAAGGTCACCCATGGAGCGGTGGCAATGCAAGATTCGTCATCTGCGAAGGTTCCTTCGTGGATGGGCTAAGCATACGAACGGAATTTATAAGGCGGAGAAGGAAAGGCTCCTTATGATGATTCACACCCTAGAGTTAAAAGCTGAAACCTCTCTTTTAGATACCAGAGAGTTGGAGTCTAAATTGGAGGCCGAGCTAAGGCTGAAAGAGCTTCTCCGTGAGGAGGAATTGAAGTGGGCTCTCAGAGCTAAGGTTCGCAAGGTTGTCCAAGGTGAGGATAATACCCAATTCTTTCATATGATTGCTAACGGAAAGCATCGTAAGAAGAGAATTTTTCAATTAGAACAAGATGAA